TCCAATGGTTCCCAGTCCCCTCAGCTGTCCCTGGAGTTAGGGTCCCTCCCTCTTGAAGACCCTTCTTCTCCTCCTCCTCCCCTCACTCCTGATACCCTGAGGTTCTCTCGTAGTGATAGTTTTGGCAGTTCAGTTGCTTCAGCTTCAGACCTTAAGGAAGTACCCCCGGGGGATAAGCCAATGCAGTTCTTTGGAGCTGAGGGTGTGCTCCACCCACCAACTACAGTACCTCTTAGCCAGGCTGTTGACGTCTCCGAACAAGTAAGTACTACATGTGTACATGTATATGGACATTATTAGTATGTACACGTACAGTATGTGTACATGTTCTTTTAATTGTGTGCACTAGTTTTAGTTTTCTGATGTATTGTAATTTTAAAGGTACCTGTTAAGTGTATTATTATTATAATTTTCATTAGGTGAGTGTTAGTCTCCGATTGGCCGGAGGGTGTTTATGTCAGGTGCTGGTTGATCACAAGTCAATTCTCAGTAAAGTACTGACGACTGTTGATGGGAGAAACCTTCTAAGTGAAGGTATTGTTGTCCTTGTTCTTGTTGCTTGTTCATTTATTTATTTCCAGCTGCTCTGAAACTAGCAGAAGCTAACAGTACTGTTGAAATTACAATGTTACTGTGCTCTCAGGTGTAATATTAATATTTATTTATTTATTTATTTATTAATTAGGAGTGGCAGACATCTTTACAGAAAACAGCTGCTAAATATTTCTCATCATTAATCACAGAAGGACGGTAATCAATTACTTTTAAACAACATGTTAAAGATGCTTGTCCTGTTATTTCTCTCTTTCAGTCACATTACTCATATCTCTGAGTCTTTCATTCGTACTCTGGCAATGAACGTATCACAAAGTATCAAATCAAATCAAGAAATATCAACTAATGTATTCACAAAATATGAAGTAATAATAATAATTAATATATGACTATTATTATTATTATTATTAATTGCTAGGAGGGGCTATCATTATTCATTAGTGACATTATTAAGGATACTCTGGTTGATCGCAAGATGAAGAAAGCTGAGTTACTGAGACACGCTCAAACTGCTGAAGCATTGTGGAGAAAAGT